TCGACGTGCGTAGCACGTCATTGCAGCGCAAGAGGTTAACCACTTGCGCTGGCAACTGACTGCGGACCATAACGAGTGACCAAATCGTCGCTTTCTTTTTGAGTTCGTTGGTATGACATCACTGGATAGAAATTATTGAGAAGCAATAAATTTATTATTTGTTTTGCCTGGTACTTAACACTAGTACTACCAGAGCGGTCAAAATGACCAGTTTATAATTTTCTATGGAAATTTCATCCATTTATAACGGCGTATTTTTAGATACTCGAGTGATTTTTAATAAAATATATTAACAGATGTTTGTGTTCTTTATAGTATTATTAATTTCTACTTGTATCTTGCACTTTAATTTCTTTGTCACAAATATTATGCTTTGGTCGTCGGTAGTTCTGGTGTTAAATATAAAACTGAGGAAGTATTGCAATTTTAGGACAAAAAATTCACGTCATTTCAGGTTGCGTTTCCAGTGTAAATTAAATAATCAAAAGTTGATCATCTTAATCAGCCTCGACTCTCAGTAGACACACTGGTGGCATATTTGATGAAATCTGAAGAAGAAAAATTGTCCTGACGATCGCGAAACAGAGAGAGCATATTGCCGCGCACGGCGAGTCGTCAATTTATAATCTTAAATGTCTATGAAAACGATGTCTATTTTCTGGTTTCGTGCGATTCATGTTACTCGCGAGATTTCCCGCGCGACCTCGCATACCTTATTACACTTTCTACGCGATGCTGTATCAGAAAATCGCTGGCGTACTTTCTAAAATCGGCCCGTCTAGCGATGTCCTGGAAATCGCGCTGTGAATCGTGGCCTCTGTCGATCTTCACGAGGAATTCGTGAGAACTAAGGGCGATGTAAATTCTCTTTACGGTCGAGGACGTGGCGATGCACGCAGTGCAACTCGATATACGAAGCTTCGATGATATTTGATTCAACAATGCTAATACACATGTTACATGTTACATATTCACAACGTTATCGTTGTATTTTCCTGTACAGACAAGTATTGTCGAATTATGCGAATTACCGAATCGCTCGTAGTAGAGGATGAAACAAAGTTTTAAAGAATTTTGAATTCGTAGAGTATACGTGGAACTTGAGCAACGTTGAGCAACGTTGCTCCGATTCAGTCACGTCGAAAAATCTTCCAAACAACAAGTAATTCGCGCAATCGATGATATATCATCAACGAAATTCATTCTGTAGAGCAATGTCTCTGATACGAAAAGAAAAGAATACGCAACATAGTACAAGAAATTGTACGTTTTCTCTACGCGATGCTCATTTTCCCAACCTCTCTCTGTCACATACTTCACTCTCTCCGGACTCTTCCCCAAGCACGTTCTCTTAATTACATTCAAAAGAAACCTCAAGCTGTGTCTACTTGCATTTTACCCAACTGGAACCCAACTGGAGCCATCCAAGCATCTGGAAGCAGACGTGTCGTCTGTTTCTTTTTCTTCTTCTTCTTTTTTTTCACTGTGCAAAAGCAAAGAGAAAGGACGGGTAGTAAGAAAGGAAAATTAGAAATTTGTTTCCACTTGTCGAGGTACGTGCTGTAAAAGGATTCTCATACGTAATTGGTCATACGTACTGATGCAGAAGAACGGTTTCTTCGGGCCGTCAATCGGGTCTGTCATAAAGATCTGAAATTACATTGAATTTCGAGGGCGGTGTGCGTGGCGCATCCTCGATGCGCAAGAAAGTCCGGAACTCGAGCCGGACACGGTTGAGTAAACACGGCGCTCTCTAAGCCTGCTTCTAGGATAACGCGCGGCTTCGTTTCTTTCAGGAAGTGACCGGACAGACACGGACACCGCCGTGCTCGCCGTTGGAAACTGAAAAAAAATTTGTAACACACCCGCGATTTCCTTTCCTTCCGCAATTTCCTCCGGCAGGACCCGGTTCAGCCTCGCCTGGCACACGTAACTTCCGTTCGAAAATCCATTCCACTTAGACTTTAGATTTTCTGAAGATTGATTTTATTTCTGAGACACGTGCACAGTGACAATTAGGGGGCGGTTGAAAATTAGAATTGCATCTCTAACAGTTCTATAAAATTTCATATAGAATTGAAAACTGATAATATTCTATAACATATATTCTATAATATTCCCGATTATTGGTTCATAAAATTAATCAATAATATAAATTATATTATTAATTGTAAATCATATTTATTATCTATAAATTATATTTATGTAAATACAAACTATGTTATTGTAAGTTATATTGTATTATTATTGTATAAATATAAATTATATTAATTACATATATTATATTAATATTAATGTATTATATTATATTAATTATATATATTATATTAATATTAATGTATTATATTATATTAATTATATATATTATATTAATATCAATGTATTATACTATATTAATTATATATATTATATTAATATATTAATAATATAAATTAATTATTGTAAGTTATATTTGTATAAATATAAATTATATTAATTATATATATTATAGTAATATTAATGTATTATATTATATTAATATATTAATAATAATGTATTAATTATATATTAATTATAAATTATATTTATATAAATATAAATTATATTATTTATATATAAATTATCAGTAAAGTTGAGAAACGCTGCCGTCAGATCAAGGATAATTCCGAAGTCGTATCGAAAGACGTCCGGCCTCCTCAAATTCATGGAGGAATCGCAGTTCTTGCTTTCTTACTTTCTAACGATCGTAACATTTCCATAAAAAAACCGACTACGGCTCGCTGCGAGGTCGTTATTTGCATTCGGAAACCAACGTACGTTTCCCCGTTCGTACAATATTTCCCTGTTCACTCTTTTTTCCTCGCGGTTTTCACCGATTGTCCGATCGTTTTCGTTCGATGCGACTAATTAATTGAACGACGCGCGCGCGCGCGAATATAATACAAAGGTAAATGGATCGTTGGATAGCGTATGAATCATTCGTGCAAATTGTTTCTGTTGCAGCAATATGCAGCCAAGCATGCCGAGCAGAGCCACTTGGTAGAGCAAATGAATACGAAGTACTATTACTACACGAGGACGCAGGGTCTCTTCAGGATATGCTATCCCAAGGAGAGGCCACCGACTGGTAAGCACAACTGACTCCACTTTCTCGAATGTACCGCTGTCAATACGTGTGAAAACGCGTTGTCCGAAATGACGAAGTTCGAACTACGCACGTTATTTGGCACGTAGCTTCGAGTTAAAGTGTTTTGCACCTGCATCTATTGTAACTCAAGTCGAACTTCAATATCCAATAAGCTGATAAGCGAGAGAAGATTTGCAACGAAAATCTTCTTGTTGTGTTACGCCGTAATAATGAGATGGAGCCGATGGAGACGTGTGTTTATTATTGTTATATAAATTATAGGTTTTTTTACGTGTATTTTTTTATATTAATAAAAATCAAATATATTGCAAATGTCGGTTCCGTCGACCAACGTCGACTCGAACGAATAATAAAGTGTCAGTCCGCAGAGACCGACACCGTCTCGAACGCGTTGACGAGGCACTCGCGAATTTTTGAGGGAAATCGGTAACAAATAGTGTCGAAAGTAGCTTCTCGCGAATTCCTAGTCCCTACGAAAGATGCCCGTCTTTCAGAGACTTTCTACGTTACTATAATATACTATAATATCGTGGATCATCCGATCCTACGTAATAATGAGCTTCGAG